TAATGCAGTCGTTTTATATTTTGAATGCTCTGATAAAATACTACATTCCTACTGGGCAGCATTTAACTGTGAGAAATAGGTTAAGGGCATTTCAGATAGCAAGAACCAAAGAATGTAAGAAACAGCATAACCCACAATGAGACATGTTTAATCCTTTTTCTTTGCCTTGATCCTGAGGGAGCATGTTCCCCAATCCAGAGGTGAAGTCAGTTTAAAACTTTTTCTATAGCATTCCACATGGGAAAACTATGTAAAAGAAATATTTTTTTTTGTTTTGTATTTGTTTCAAATATTTAAATTCAAACATCAGGCCTACACACCCAAGGAATTCAAGGAATGCAATTTCTTGGGTTTCTCTAATATATAAAATATTTCTTTGAGGAGAAATATTACCTAAATTTCTCTCATTAGACTAAAATCAAATGGAAATAAAATTTAAAATATAGTAAAAATGTGGCTATAGTCTATTTACATTAGGGCTTCTATCAGTAAAAATATTAAAAGGTATCCAAAACATGTTACAAAGACCATTAAATACGCATGCTTCCTTTCAGTAACTCATTTTACAGTAATGCATTTACATATTAAATAGATGACCTTTAAGTTAGTGAGAGTATCTCACAAGCATCTTAAAAGTATAAAAGTAAAACACCTAATTGTAGAGTAAGTTAGAAATCAAAAGTGACAGTTTTATCTTTAAATGAAACAGTCCATCTAACAAATTGATTAAAAGAACAGCAAATACAATGTAGATAACTACCTCATTTTCTCTATCACTATGACTTTAGGTGACCAGCAATCATATACATCCTTATTTTCTCTCTCTTTAAGCTAGGTAGATTTAGTTATCAACATGTTATTTTTAATTTGCTGAATTATCAACAATTATCCTTGATTGCTGAAGTCATTATACACTGTCATCAAATACAAACTGTATTTTCCGTTTTATCAAATACTGAAACATCTGAATGTTGAAGGAAGAAAAGTAATAGTGACATCAGGGTGGTGTGACCACCCTTCTCATTGCTATCTCTCCCAGTGGCCAGCACGATGCAGTGAACCATGGGAAAGTGTGCTGCTGGACTAAGGAATGCCCCGATGGTCCGTCCCATTTAGATTGCCTGAATCAAGTCAAGTTCCCATAAACGAACTCAGTAAATTTTTATTAGAAGTTCACAATATGTCAAGTGTCTACATTCCTCAAAAAACTAGCCAGTTCTGATATTATTGACAGTTCTTGGATATTCTTACCATCTTCCTAACTCCTAGCTTCAAAAGTGGTTCAATGACATGTAAAGAATTTTTTGAGACTTGTAACAACATTAGCCTACTTTAACACTCTGTGTTACTCTTCTGTCCCATATTTATCATTGTTCCCATGGATTCACAATAGATATAAATTTATGTATGGAAACAAATGTTGTAACATGAATTTCTAAGTGGTTTTATTAATTAAAGCAAAAACAAAAACCCGGAGCCAGATATTGGGTTAAACTCTGAAAGACCAGAGAGACAGGACAAACCACAGTCAACCTCACCTTGCCAATTCCTCAGCTGATCCTGTTTCCTCAGACTGAAAGCCTCTGAGTCCTCACCCAAAAGGGTCTTAGTTGAACTGCTCAAAAGCCTCTAGTTACTGATTCTTATGCCTTATATGCCTTCGTGCCTCTTACCATCACTTCCTGGGATTAAAGCCCTACGTCCTTCCCAAAGAAAGACATGAGATCTAAAGTGCTGGGATTAAAGGTGTGTATATACAACTTGTATTATGTATCAGGAAAGTTTTTTGTTTGATTAATTCTGATCTTACAATGCTCCTATTGGACAGGCAATATTTTCTCATCAGAGATAAAGTCCTTCTAACTGAGCCAGAACATAAGGTCTAACTCGGAGTTAGGGATTCCATGGTCACCTGTTCTACTTCAGCAAGGTCAACACTTACTGCTGCATCTGTAAAAACAAATATAGCTTCTTTTCACAACACTCCATTATTCTGCTTTTCCTTGTATTGAAATGTATTCAGATCCTCTCCTTGCATCTGTCTTGATAGTTCATTCTTACAATGATAATCCTGGCAGCAGATTAACAATGGATATGTTTGATCATTTTTCTTCAACCCATTGTATCTACTTACCAATTCTTAGTGGATGTGCATCTATATCCTACCCCTCCATAGACTGAAAAATATTGCATAATTCTACCTATAAGTTTTAAACACTTTTGGCTTGAATTAGTTAAGAAATATTAATTATATTATCATTCTAATTGACAATATTTCATTGAAAATAGAAAAATAAATTTGCATTTTTCTTATTCTTTCTGCAGTTTATAAACATGATAATTAAAATGTCAAAAATAAAAAAAATTAAAAATATCTGTGGTGATATTTTGTTTGTACTCTAAATCATAAAATTTGCTTGAAGACCAGAGGACAGAGCTAGCCACTAGATTAAACATAGAGGCCAGACACACACCTTTAATTCCAGGACTTGGGATCTCATGCCTTTACTCCCAGTATTTAGGAAGCACACAGGCCATTAATCCCAGCACTAGGAAGGTTGAGACAGGAAGTGATATGGCTGGGCAGAGAAAGGCATATAAGTTGGGAGGAGACAGGAACTCAGCCTTTGCGGCTGAGAACTCAAGGTCATTCAGTCTGAGAGTTTGTGGTGACAACATCTTCCCCTTTTGGCTGAGGAGCTGGCAAGGTGAGAAGTGCCTGTGTCTTGTTTCTTCTGATCTTTCAGCTTTTACCCCCATATCTGGCTCCATTTATTATAAGACCAATGAGGATTCGTGCAACAAATATCAGTATAATGTGTAAAATATCGAGTCTATCAAGCCCAATGTAATAGTTTTAGAAGAAAATATTTTATTTGTTATTCTGCATAATTATATTTCCAACATTTAATAGATGCTCAATCAATAAATATACAAACATCCATATTGTGGGAACTGTTAAAATAAGAGATAAGTGTTGGAAACATATTTTGAGGAATATTTCATTGGGGAAAATGGTATAATTAGAGCAACAATGATTTTCTTTCAAATGTCACATATATAACTTTATCATCTATGAAATACAGACTCCCTAATGTGCAGGAAACATTTGGAGGTTATTAGACAACAGAGCGATTTGTTCCTTTAGTTTGTCTTGTGCTTTGCTCCCCTTTTAATCAGTTTACAAATAAGTAAGAGAGAATCAGAGTTGACATCAGTGGTCTTTTCTCTTCAGCAATCACCTTAAACACTATTGTGAAATGTCTAATGGTCTGTGGGCTCAATGCCCTTAGTATTCACTTCAGCATGAAAAGATCATAGTAGATTTAGAACATATTGAAATATGAAATGATGAGCAATCTTTCTTTGACAGCTAAATTTCAAGTGAGAGGAAACACAACAATAAAAACAGTAGCATAACCTTTGTTTTAGACGTTAGGATGCATGTCAGATGTTTCTATCTGTGTCTGGCTTGCTTTTATAAGCACTCACCTAGGCGTATACCAGAACCTTTGGAAGAGGAATGATGCTCACCCAGGAGTAGTGTATAAAGGGGAAATGTGCTACATCAGACACAATTAGTACTTTTTATGATTATAGTTTATGGGATGTTGGTGTCAGTTCATTAAAAATGTACTGAACTATCAACTCATTTCACACAGGCCATTGAACAGCAATAAAGCGGTATCAGCTCTTCTCCAAGATGACTTTTACCTGGATTTGAACCAGTGACTCATAGAAAATAGGCTGTGTTCTATTGTCAGTCTATAAAAGCATTTTATAGAGTTGCAATGCACCTGCCTCCTGAGTTTTGCTTCTAGAAGCATTCCTGTTTCTTGCAATATACTCCATAAATTTTATCTTGAATAAACAAATATTAGATGCTAGGGGATGGTTATATTATACACTATATATTTAAATTTTATTTATTTTATCTTATTAATGCCATTTAATCTCAATAAAAGTAGTCATGTGTAGTATAATATTGGAGAATCTTTTGGCTGTGAAAGAATGGAAATTTCGTTAGCACAATAGTACTCATTTACTAACATATGTAATTCCCTACAGCTTAAATTTTCACCCCCACAGAGCTGCACATATTTTATAACTCATGGGTTACATCAGCCAAAAAACACAATGAACATTAAAATTGAACTCTTGTCTGTGCTAGAATATAGACTTTTGTTGTACGAAAACACTGACTATCACTGAAGTAAGTGTAAGCAAATGTTAGCTCATTTCTTGAGTTGATACAGTGCAATAGATACCGAAGTATTTTTCTAAATGCATTTCTACAGAAATATATTAAAAATAGGATAGTAGTAAATCCTGAGACAGTGAGAAAAATGAGACATTAATCTCTCCCTCTCTTTTTCAAGTTTTGAATAACATCATTTCTTTCAGTGTACATCAATTTTGTATTAAAAATTTTCATTAATTGCTCATGACTAGCTTTAATAAAATGTCAACTATTTTATTTTTATTCTACATTATTACATGTATTATTATGTTCCATAACTTTAAGGGCAAATTCAAGTGTCACCCTGTAAAATAGCAATGGTGCAGGATCGGCACTGACTGGATACTTCCCTGAAAGATTCCAGAAGCAAAGTGTCTAATCAAGAGACTTGAAAAGTTGAATTAATGAGTTATTTATTCAGTGGCATAGAGCAAATGAGTCTGTATATTTCTTGGGAATTTTCTATAATTTTTCTCATAATTATGCTCCTTTGTTTTTCTTACATTTACCCAACAGTTTACGTAGATTTATGTCCTTAAATTATTAAAGATAGACATTCATTTTGGTAATTTAACCAGTTGGATATTATCTAGTAAAGGCATGTCATGAAGACTGGCTCTTTACTTTGTTCCTAGACTTGCATACTTTGATTTGATACTGTGTCATTCGCTATGCTGTTTGAGTTTGCGTTCTGCAGAGCATGAACACTCTGCCGGGGAGAAGCTAGTGTTAACTGCATGTCCTGTGATCTTCTTTGTAGTCTCAGCGCCGTGTTACCTTTCACCTCCCGGATGGTTCCCAGGAAAGCTGCAGTGACAGTGGTCTGGGAGACCACGAGCCGGTGGGTAGTGGAACCCTGATCTCACACCCTCTTCCTCTGGTTCAGCCACAGGACGAATTCTACGACCAGGCCTCTCCGGACAAGAGGACCGAAGCAGATGGCAACTCGGACCCCAACTCTGGTGAGTCCTCTTCCGGTCTTCATAGCATGCGGCTGGTCTGGTTGAGTAAATAGTGTGCTGGAACTTGTTTAATTGTCACCCTGCTCTGCAAGCCAGGGATAGTTGGTTGTACTTGCTGTTTTTTATGGGTAGATGCATTGAAATAGATGAAGTGTAGTTTGCTTGGTATGTTGACCTTTAAATGGTATGATATTCTGTTTGTTTTGAGTCATCAAAAAGATTTTAAAATTTGCAAATATAACTGAAAGAAATTATCTGTTGAAATATACTCTAGTGTCAAAGAGATTACAGTATCAGTAGTTAAAATGTGATGAACAAGAGTTTATTGGAATATTGTTAATGAGAAATAATCAAAACATTCATTCCTGTGGAATGCTATCTTCTAAAGAACTCTGTACAAAGAATGCAAATAAAGAAGGATTGAATGTGATTAAGATCCATCTGAAGAAAGGAGGTGATCTTTCATAAATTTGTATTTATGCTTTGAGTATGGGATAATTGGGTTTTGTATGAGAAGGTTGAAAAAATGTGTCTGGCCTAAACCGTATATCATCCAAAGACCTGACCTTGGGAATCCTTATATATAAACAAACAAAACACCTTCAGTCCCTAGGTAACAAAAAATAAATAAAATTATAATACCCCTTTCAGAGCAATGAAAATGATATTTATTTTGTTTAATTGTTTTTTTAATGATAATGTGAATGCTCAGGTGAGCTCATGCAGGTTCCTGGGCAGGAATATTAGAGAAGTCTTTGTGTGTTTCTCCAATTCTTCTTTTAATTAAAAGGAAATACTGAGTAATCATAAAAAGAGGACATCCAAACCAGAAAAGGAACAACAACCACCTAACAAACAGTACACACATTCAAGACAGAAAATCTCTCCTGCTCTTGAAACGGCTGCACATTGGTTAGCTAGAGAAGGAAATGGTGTTGAGGTGACTTTTCCATAAATCTCCAGCTATTTAGCACCTTCTGCTATAGACACCACTGCGCCTCGGGCATTTTTTGTGATGTAGCTCTATCTAGAGGAGGTCACAAGCTCACACAGGCTTACTTAACAAGTTTCCTTCTGGTAATCCAGCTTTCATGTTCACTTACTTCCACAATTTTGAGTCACCTGTCTATCTAGGCAGGAAGATCTGTGTTAAGTTTTTCCTTCTCTCCCTCTATCCCACCTCAACCATGCCACTGCCTATGCAGGCCTCTAATGAAGCTCTTTCTTCACTAGCAAATGTTAAAAGTGTGCAATTATAATACATCTTTCTACAGAGGTTTCCCTCCAGGAAATCTAGTTGAATCTAAGTAAAATGTATGCCATCATTTTCAAGTTGTATGTTTGGTTTGTAAGTGAATTTTTTTTTAACTTCAATTATATAGAGCTGACAAACTCAAAAGCCTTCATCAAATTAAGTTTGAGAGAGCTGATAATCATTTATTCTCTGTAGATTTCTTGGCACCCTCACTCTATGATCTAATGATTCTAGGTTGTTCCATTGAGCCATATTTTCCAGGAATTGTATGGGGGTGACGAGGGCTGATAGAGCTTATAATAACTCCTTGTAAACAATTCTTGTAATCTACAATTTCCTCTTTAATTAGTACTAATTAAAACTTTCTGCAGTAATTTTTGATCACCTTGTCTGAAAGTGTTTGGATGTTCTTGTCTTTGAGTCTGAGTAAAACTCAACACAAAAAGACACACCTTAAATGTATTGGCACACACAGCTGTAGCAGTGTTTGGTAGTTTAGCCAGTGCACTCTGTACAAATATCTTTAAAGCAGGAGTAATTTGTGAAATTCCAGGTGAATGACTTAGACATGCCTAAGAGTTTTTATCAATTTCTTTTTAGCTATAATAATGGAATCATTTAGAATCACACCCAGGATGACAGAGGGCAGTGAATTTAATCACTAGGTTTTAGAAAGTGATGAACATGTGGGTAATTTTCTACTTAACTGAATTAGAAATTTAAAAATATTCATCTAGGAGGGAAAGGCAGCTTTTCGGACATATTGAATACTAAACAGGATAATAGTTATTTTATATTTTCTTTGTCATAGAATTATGTGTCTGTGGTCAGTCAGAGTGAACTGAGAAGTCAATTAGTACAGAAAAGATATAGCTAAAATACAGAACACATTTCATCACTACTATACAGGGATATCTATGCATGAGTATATATGTTACCTGTCTTTTCCCTTCTCCATGCAATGAAACATAACTGCAAGTTCATTTGTTGCAAATTTAAGTTTAATTTTAAATGTTCACTTAAATATAAATTTCAAACAAAATATGCTTTATACTATACAGTATGGATGCTTTATAGTAGAGTTTTTGCTATAAATAATCTTTAGTAAATTTATTGTCTTTTTATTTACACTTAAATATTTATCAAGAGAGTCTGGGATACTTACTGTAATTTCTTCTGGCATCACTAAGTATGTAAGTTAAGAGAGGAAAAGTGATATTAAGAAATTTGCATGTTATTGACAGTTGGTGAATTGACTTAGCCAAAGAAATGAATAGGTTGTCTTTTTATACTGCTGGCCATTTTTGTCACTTTTTCTATTTCTCCTAAGTCTACCCATAATGGAAGCCATATGTGAGGTTTCCAATAAGAGAGAAAGGAGAGAAAAAAAGAGGGGGAGCATTTTATCAAGATATTCAAGCAGGAGATAGCTAAATTGCCCTTGGCTAGGTCTTTCTACAGTATGTCATGCTACTCACACAATGAGTACTATACGAATTAACTGGGCTAGCTGCCAAGTATGAATGGATGGAAGAGGGACTAAAGTTGGGGAAAATGCACACTTCAATCGTATTTAAAGGGGTCATCAGAAGGTTTTATTTTTTATTATTTTTAAACAAGCTAGTGACAGCAATAAAGGAAATCAAAGCCCTAGAAACCTTCAACATTCTCTTTGAGATAGGGATTTTGCCCAGGAGAATGATGGTCACTAAGATGTCCTTAAATAAGAAAAAAAAACAGGGCTTCATGGTAGAATCAGTATTGATTCATCACTGCTAGGGAATTAGACAATTCAGGTCAGCAGTGAGTAGCCCTGGGAGTCAGTGGTTTATTTGACCCCTACTAAGACTAAAACTATAAACTCCTTATTAGTGCCTAGATCAGGATTCATTAGAATGCACTGAAAATATTAAAAGGATCAAACTAAATCTAAATTGAACTAGAATATTATCATGCTACATTCTCCATACATTGTCTAGTCACTGTTTTGTAATTAACTTTGAGGAATTAGTGAAGTGTGGTAGAGAGAAATGGACATACTAGTCAATGCCTGTCTGCTCCCCTTATATTTAAGTGGTTTTCAGTGTCCTCTGTAGGTTCTTCTTTCTGGAATTTTACACTTTCTGAAAAGATATGATGTTCTAACAAGTGAAGTATCAAACATGAGCTTCAGAATGTGGTGACCTAGTATTACTTATGCCTAGAAAGATCTCTAATGTTAATTTAAGGACATTTAAAACTATGATATTTACATAGTAATAATTTTCATTGTGCATTTTCTAATAAATTGAAATGAATAGCTATAGCCTGTAGTGCATTTGGGGAAACTGGATTTTAATATATGTTCTTAGTACTCCTAAACACACATCGACAACTTACACATGCCTTAAGGATTGCAAGGATGTCCAATATTCTTCTTTACTTCTCAATGTATAGTTTTGAGTTGTTGACCCACTATATTTAAAATTTTGTCTGATTCTTGATTTCTTGACTAAGAACTTACATGTGCTATAATAAGGATTTAAAATATACCTCAAAAGCCATGGTGTTAAAGGCTTGCTAGCATTACAATGAGAACGTAGACTATTAGAAGCTGGGTGCAGGGAGAAAATTTGAGATGACTGAAGACATATTCTTGAAGAGACTATTGAGAGCTTGGATCTGACCTCTTTGTAGTTTGCTTTCCTGGAGCCTCATGGTAAGCAACTCTCATCTATTACATGTCTTTCAATGTGATACGCCTTTTTGTCTTATGATACACAAAATCTTGGGGGGTGGGTTGTCGGGGAAGACTAGGGTGGGAGGAGAGAGGACAGGGGAATCTGTGGTTGACAAGTAGAATGAATAGACAATCTCTTAATAAAAAAATAGCATAAATCAAAACGAAAAAAGAAGCAAAATAATTCCCAGTGCCAGATATTGGGGTAAATGCTGAAAGATCAGGGAGACAAAGGATCAAGCCACAGCCACCTTTTACCTGTAGGACTTCTCAGCCTGAAAAAGCTTCAGTTCTTGTCTCCTCATGCCTTATATACCTTTCTCCACCCAGCCATCACGTCCTTCCTAGTGATGGGATTAATGGCATGTGTGCTTCCCAAATACTGGAATCAAAGGTGTGAGAGCTCAAGTTCTGAGATTAAAGATGTGTGCCACCACTGCCTGGCTTCTATGTTTAATCTAGTGGCTTGTTCTGTTCTCTGATCTTCAAGCAAATTGTATTAGGGTACAGAATATATCACCACATTTCCCCCTTTTTGTCTAAAATAATAAAAAAGGTTATAACAACTATATTATAAAAACTATATACAATAAGTATACAATGTATACAGTCAAGAATTATATTAACAATGTCCAGTCCATAAATATTTGGCAAATTTGGAAAAAAAAAACACTCTATTATCTATCCTATTTTGGTGAATCCAAAGTGTTGTACCTAATTCACTTTCTATCTTAACTAGTATTACCAACTGAAAATTATATTTTGAGTTCAATATTACTCTAGATTTCATGAATCTTAGCTACTTTCTATTTCTGTGACTAAACACCATGGCCAAGGTAACTTTAGGAAGAGCACATTTAATTGGGAGCTAGCTTACAATTTCAGGGGTTAGTCCCAAAAACATCATGACTTGTAACATGAATGGAAGTCAAGCAGATGTGGCTCTGGAGCAGAAGATGAAAGCACATATATAATCCACAAGTTGCAGGCACAGAAAGAGAAAGACTGGGCCTGGCACAGACTTTT